TGTCCACGCCCTCCCTGCTCTGTGTCCATGCTATGTCCACACTCTCCCTGCGCTGTGTCCACACTCTCCCTGCGCTGTGTCCATGCTGTGTCCACACTCTCCCTGCGCTGTGTCCATGCTGTGTCCACACTCTCCCTGCGCTGGGTCTGTGCTTTCCCCATGTCCATGCTCTTTCTGTGTCCACGCTCTCCCCACTCTGTGTCCACGCTCTCCCCACTTTGTGTCCACGCTCTCCCCACTCAGTGTTCACACTCTCCCTGTGTCTACCTGGGGCTATTTCTAGTTCCCTAGTCTCGCTGCCTCTTTGGCTTTTTTGCTTTGTTTTGGAGAAAATGCTGCCCATTTGGGTCTGTACTGTGGGTTCTTCTGAGGACCATGTGCCTCCCTGGTGGCAGTGGCACTTTTTAGACCTTTACCGTGGCTGGAAGGTAGTTTGGGTCTAAGTTAGAAATCTGTCTTAGCACCAGAGACTCTTATCAGTCTGGTCTTTTGGAATTTTAATTTGTTCCACCTTTCCTCCCTTTTCATAGGACTGAAGAAGACTGACTCCTTCTCTTGTGATGCGGGGTGGGGCGTGGCGGGGTGGGGCTGGACACCATCTAGTTCCTGTGGTGTCTGCTCAGTGGAAACTGTTTCACAGGGTCAATTTGTTTCTCTGCGTATTTGGTTTTCTTCATCTTTGCATCTTAAATGGCTGCTCATAGGACTTTACAGTATCAGATATATAGTGAGTTATTCCTTCAACTCCTTTGTCATAGGCAGGGTCTTGTCAAGATTAAGGATCACTTTCTTTTTCTTCTAGACTGGAATCCATAACCTTGACTGTCCTTGCCCCGTTGGTGGGTTTCTGGGGATCCTCTTACCCCTGATATTTTATAAGGAGTTCTGTGTGTACATGCACAAGGCAGAGGCAACTACTTGTTTATCAGATTTTCAATACAGTCGGTAATCACAGTGTGGGGAAAGATTTCAGACCACTGCTTTAAACTCCTGTTCAGTTTTTGGACTAACTGCAGCATAGATAACATCACATTATGTCATCTCTTTCCCTTAATAAAACAGTTTCTGAATTAATATAGAAATAATACTGCTTTTGATAAGAAAGTGCTGTTCCAGTTCTCTAGTACCACTTTAGCAGAGCTTGCAGAAGTGGATGGCTTTACCAGCCAGCATGGCTGGGGAGGCTGGGCACCAGAATTCAGGGAGTTGGCGCTAGTGGAAGGCTTTCTCTTTGCCAGGCCTAGGGGAAGATCCCATCTCCTCTCCGCATCCATGGGCCCAGCATCCCTTGAGAGCAGCTTGTGTCTTAGGTCAGTCCTCCTCTGGGTTCAGGAGAACCCTGGGCCTGAAGGATACACTCCACTCCTGCCTCTACTTCCTTGGTAAGGGTCAGGTCCCCACGATCTCAGCTCGTTTTCTCTGCCCTCTGTCTCAAAGGAGATTGACGCAGAACAGCCTAATCCTGTAGACTGTATCCTCATTAACGTAATTGGCACTAATCCTACCCTATTAGCGTCATAGATTAGAATAGACAACACGGAATAATTAGATCAGATCACAAAATAAAAGAAAAGTACGTAATAATGGGAATTACGGCCTAGCCAAATGGATGAATATTTTTGGGGTCCAGAATTCCAGCCATAACAGGTACTTGTGGAAGAGCTGACTGTGTTATACTTCCCAAGAAAAATGATTAATTCATTTCTAAATGATGTAAACAATCTGGCATTCAGAAGTCACAGTCATTGCTGTCTAGTGAGGACTCGGCTCACCCTCCGATGGGCTCTCGAGGCTGTAAGTCGCATAGAAGAGTGTTCATTCTTGTTCCAGGGAACAGCAAGTGGTTAATGCCGCACACTTTTAAAATTGACCACCATGCTTAGAAACACATTTGCCGTCATTTGCGGCAACTTGTTAAGAACCTCCAGAGAGGCAAGCTCTTTGGGCTAGTAGCCCAGCTGCCACCAGAGCCTCATAATCTGGTAGAGAAGTTATGATTCTAGGGCTGTGTGGTCTACCCAGAGCTGCCTCCTGTACTACCCCAGGGCAGGAGGACATTAGCAAGAGTTTTGAGACATCAGAGACCAGAACTGGCTGTCCATTTTCTCGCCCGTTTGCGGAGTGCGGTGCTGGCCTCTCACCTGCCTGTTTGGGCAGTGACCTGCTGTTTCTGGTTCCTCAGAGCCATCATGTACTTGGCCCATCGCTGGGTCTTTGTTCATTCTCCACCCTTTGCCTCGAAGGTGTTCATTCCCTTTCACTCCAGCCTCCGTTTAATCCAGCTGGTCTTGCTAATCCCAGTAAAACTCCACGTCCTCTCCACACTCTCTCAGCCCCTCAGACACAAAGCAAAGGATTTTTTCCCTTGGACTCTATTTCTCTACAGTCTGTTTTGTGCCTGAGGCCCCTTGGGTCCCAGCTGGGGGACATGGTGTTACTTTTGATGCTGTTCCCTCCAGTGGTCTGTGCACAGCTAGCCTCAGGCATTGGCCTTGAAGACGACTTCAGACATGGGCCTTGCTGGTGGACACAGCAGGGACAGAGCCCTTAGCCAGTGGTCTTTGTGAGGGGGATTTACACTGGGGACTCCAGCTCTTTATGCTCCTCAGTTCTGATCTGGGGGCTGTTTGTGAAAGCAGTTTTGATGATTCTGAAGTGGCTTTTTTTTTTAATGACATAGAAAATAAAAGATGATGCACCGTAGGTGCTGGTTGTGTGCTGGTGAGTGCTGCTGAGTCAGCTGGACCCTCTGTGGCCCGCCCACAGGCTTTCTGTGAGAGCGAGCTGCCACATCTCTCTCCTTCAAAGGGGCTGATGTGTTCACACTGCCAGCCTTTCAGGGAACAGCCAAGTACTTGACCATCAAACCACCGGGGAGGGTCAGGGAACAGCCAAGTACTTGACCATCGAGCCACCGGGGAGGGTCAGGGAACAGCCAAGTACTTGACCATCGAACCACCGGGGAGGGTCAGGGAACAGCCAAGTACTTGACCATCGA